ACTGTTCTATGGTTGTTCAAAGGCTCTATGGTTGTTCTATGGTTGTTCTAAGGCTCTATAGTTGTTTTAGGGTTGTTCTAAGGTTGCTCAAAGGTTCTAAGACTGTTCTATGGTTGTTCAAAGGTTCTATGGTTGTTCTATGATTGTTCTAAGGTTGTTCAAAGGTTCTATGGCTCTTCTATGGCCGTTCCAAGGTTCTACGGCTGTTCTATGATTGTTCTAAGGTTGTCCAAAGGTTCTAAGGTTGTTCTAAGGTTGTTCTAAGGCTCTATAGTTGTTCTAGGGTTGTTTTAAGGTTGTTCAAAGGTTCTATGGTTGTTCTATGGTTGTTCTACGGTTCTATGGCTGTTCTATGGTTGTTCTATGGCTGTTCTAAGGTTGTTCAAAGGTTCTAAGACTGTTCTATGGTTGTTCAAAGGCTCTAAGGTTGTTCTAAGGCTGTTCAAAGGTTGTTCTAAGGCTATTCAAAGATTCTAAGGTTGTTCTAAAGCTCTATGGTTCTTTAAAAAGTCCCTAAAAGCCAATTCGAGCCAATTAGAGTCAATTAGAGCCAATTCAAGCCAATTCAAGCCAATTAGAGCCAATTGCCAATCCCAATTGCCTTTGTATCACCTATAGATTCCTATAATTCTAGATTTCTAGATTTCCAGAGCTTTCCAGCTGAAAAAAGAGAATTTTCATCAAAAAGAGTACTTTCATCGAAAAGAGACCTTTCATCACTATTTACTACCGTAATAGTACGGTTCTAGAAAAAAAAAACGCGAAACTAATCGATTCGGTGACCCCCACGTGAAAGGGAACGGCTGTGCGTGGCTCGAGAGTGGTGTTCGCCTGAATGTCTGACCCCTCCCGCTTGCACCCACTCATCCAACCCTTTCTTGCCCTACTCCCCCACTATCTCTTTCTCTATTCTGACCCACACTTCCTCCTATTTCCTCCTCTTTCCTTTCTCCTCTTTCCTTTCTCCTTTGTCCTTTCATTCGTTTCTCATTCCCTTGACCAGCAACCACCAAATATAGCCAAAACCTTCATAAAGGCTTTTCCGAATTTTCTGATAGACTTTAAAGCTTTAAGCTTTGAGCCTTGAGCTTTAAGCTTTGAGCTTGAGCCTTGAGCTTGAGCCTTGAGCTTGAGCCTTGAGCCTTGAGCCTTGAGCTTTAAGCTTTGAGCTTGAGCCTTGAGCTTGAGCCTTGAGCCTTGAGCTTTGAGCTTAAAGGCTTTGAAAGGCTTTGAAAGGTTTTGAAAGGCTTTGAAAGCCTCTCAAACCCTCTCAAACCCTCTCAAACCCTTTCAAAGCTTAACTCCTCTATCTTTCTATTATATATTCTATCTTCTTTCATCTCCAACAACATCCCTTTATCAATTTCTCTTTTAGATTACTGTATCTGCCACTAGAATCTTGATATTCCATATTCTGCATTTCTTTGAATCCCGTAGAAGAAGTTTAAACAGTTTTGAAATGACATAAAGGATCGGGCCGTATCAAGGCCGTATCAAGGCCAGATCAAGCTCGTTTCAGGCCCGTATTAAGGCCAGATCAAGCCCGGATCAGGGCCGTATCAAGGCCGTATCAAGGCCAGATCAAGCCCGGATCAAGCCCGGATCAGGGCCAGATCAAGGCCGTATCAAGGCCAGATCAAGCCGGATCAAGCCCGGATCAGGGCCAGATCAAGGCCGTATCAATCCCGGATCAGGGTCAGATCAAGGCCGGATCAAGCCCGGATCAGGGCCGTATCAAGGCCGTATCAAGGCCAGATCAAGCCCGGATCAAGCCCGGATCAAGGCCGTATCAAGGCCAGATCAAGCCCGGATCAAGCCCGGATCAGGGCCGTATCAAGGCCGTATCAAGCCCGGATCAGGGTCAGATCAAGGCCGGATCAAGCCCGGATCAGGGCCAGATCCGGGCCAGATCAAGGCCTTATCAATACAGCTAGATTCATCAACTAGGCCAAACCAGGCTCTAAAAGCAAAACTAGACACTTTAAACTTTATCTTCAACTCTTGAAAGTTTATCTTTTGTCCTTGTAAGCCTTAGAAGCTAAGGCCTGAGCCTGAGCCGGAGCCTAAGCCTAAGCCTGAGCTTACTTTTATCCATAAAAGCTTTGGAAACCTATCTTTTGTTAACTCCGTCTAGTTCTTGAAAGGCACAAGTGAATTCCTAGCCTAGCCAAGCCAAGCCAAGCCTAAGCCAAGCCAAGCAAGCCTAGCCTAGCCAAGCCTAGCCAAGCAAGCCAAGCCTAGCCAAGCCTAGCCTTACCTTCTCCATCCACTACTTGAACTCTTTCAATCTCTTGCTCTCCATTTCTCTATGTCTTTTATTTCTACGTTTCAATCCAACATCTAGGCAACCCTTGGATCAACGAAATCTCGAAAAACATCGACTTTCTCTGTGATCTCACCTTGTTTACCATGTCGATGCCCGGCGATGAAGGGGCGGGCCTCTTGCCCGGGGTTCTAGGCCTACAGGGTCCTCTCCAGGGCCCACCCCAACCCCTTCCCCTCCTCCCACCACCACTTTTCGAGGGTGGCCACGAATCGGATGATTTTCTGCCTCGTTCCCGGTGCTACACGTGGCCAATGCAGCAATTTTTCGACTCAACAAGTCCGCTGATTTCAAGAGAACCGACCGTAGCTCAATTATTGACTCAACCATGTAGCTCAAATCATTTACCAATCCTTCTACAAACTCCAGCAAAAAAAAAGCGATGTCGAAAGAAACCGGCTGATCAATTGGCTCAAAAGAAGCCGAATCCATGGGGTGAAGAGTCGTATTCGGATTTGATCGCCAAATCATTAGACTCGACACCGGAAGGACGACTGAAATTGAATGAGATTTATCAATGGTTTTCTGATAATATTCCATATTTTCGAGATCGATCTAGTCAAGAAGAAGCCGCTGGATGGAAGGTTTGATTGAATTGTTATCTAGAAAAGTCTAGACAATCGATTTCTATAGTTTAATCGAATCAAATCCCCAATCCAATCCAATCTCCAATCAAATCCAATCAAATCACCAATCCAATCCAATCCAATCAACACTTAGACTCTTCTATCTATCAATCGATTATCGAAAAGACTAAAGCATCTGGCGATAATCTAGAAAATTTAGAAAAAGAGCTGAGAAACAGCTTAGCTCTTCTTCCTCTTCCTCTTCCTCTCTCTCTCTTCCTCTCTCTCCCTCTCTCTCTCTCTCTCTCTCCCCGATGACCCCTAGGCACTAATGACGGAAAGGGGACAGGCTAGCGAACAGCCGAAGAGTCAGGGTGACAGGGTACCCTTCAGCCCCTTTTCTAGCGTTGACCTGACACCCCAAACCCCTCTCTTTGCATAGGCAGAGTTTTTCCCTTTCCCAATCCCGCGAAAATCGATTAGAGTCTAGTCTGGGGTTCTAATAAAGTCAAAAGTCTGATCAAAGGCTCAAGCCAAAAGCCCAGCCTAAGTCCAGCCCAGGCCAAGCCTAAACCCAGCCTAGTCCAGTCTAATTCCAGCTTAAGCCAAGCCTAAGTCCGGCCTAAGTTCTGGGCGCTAGACCCAGGACTCAGGTCCAGAACTTGAGCCTGAGGATTCCAGAGTGCTCTTAGAACTAGGTTCTAGTGTTTCAGGGCCTTCAGCTTCAGTATCTCCTAGCCAGGCTGAACCCTAAGTCTTGAATGTTACCCAAGTCCAGGGTCTAGTTCTAGGTCTAGGTCCAGATTCAGGTCCAAAGTCAGGTCCAGGTCTAGATCCAGGGCCAGACTCAGGTCCAAATCCAGATCCAGATCCAGATCCAGATCTAGATCCAGGTCTAAATCCAGGTCCAGATCCAGATCCAGATTCAGGTCCAGATCCAGATCCAGATTCAGGTCCATATCCAGTTGCAGGTCCAGATCCAGATCTAGACCCAGGTCTAAATCTAGGTCCATCTGGGTCTGGATCCAAATCCAGGTCCAGATCCAGGTCCAGATCTAGATCCAAGTCTAAATCTAGGTCCAATTCCAGATCCAGGTCTAAATCCAGGGATAGGTCTAGATCCAGATCCAGATCCAGATTCAGGTCCATATCCAGTTGCAGGTCCAGATCCAGATCTAGACCCAGGTCTAAATCTAGGTCCAAATCCAGATCCAAGTCTAAATCCAGGTCCAGATCCAGGTCCAGATCTAGACCCAGGTCTAAATCTAGGTCCAAATTTAGATCCAAGTCTAAATCCAGGTCCAGGGACAGGTCCAGATCCAGATCCAGGTCTAAATCCAGATCCAGATCCAGGTCTAAATCCAGATCCAGATCCAGATCCAGATTCATATCCATATCCAGGGTTCAGGGTTCAGGCTGAGTATTTCAAGTCCTCTAATTTTTCTGATCAACAGCACTGTACTTTAGCTTAATTTAAAACCAAATCTATCTATCGATTAAAAAAGAAAGATCGAAAATCTAGCTCTTCAAAAAGAACTAAAGCTAAAAGAAGAAGCTAAAAGAAGCTAAGAAGCTAGAAGCTAAGAAGCTAAGAAGCTAGAAGCTAGAAGCTAGAAGCTAAGAAGCTAGAAGCTAGAAGCTAGAAGCTAGAAGCTAAGAAGCTAGAAGCTAGAAGCTAGAAGCTAGAAGCTAGAAGCTAAGAAGCTAAGAAGCTAAAAGGATTAAACGCTATAAATTCTAAAATTTCTTCAAAATATCATTTTTCTATAAAAGAAAATGGGAAAACCTCAAAGATCGTTGCTAAAATTTTTGTTTTTCAAGAGAATTCAAGAGAAAAAGAGAATATTTTTGTGCGTTTTCATGGATTGACCCCAGAGATTAGCGATGAAAAGAAAAACAACAAAATGTAATCAATTAGTAATCAAAAATGCTCAGGGAGTTTAGGGAATTTGGGTTTTGATGACGTCAAATGGGTAAATTAAAGATTTCATAAAGATTTCATAGAGATTTGATAAAGATAATCAATAAAAAGATTGATAATGGTGACAGGGTACCCTTTCATCCATTTAATATAGTTATCTTTAATCTTTCAACTATCTTTTATCTTTCAGAATTCGATTCGACACAACTTGTCACTTCACTCGCGCTTTATGCGAATTCAGAATGAAGGAGCTGGGAAATCTTCATGGTTTGTTGGAAATGAGAAGCTGAATAGAGAAAGATGATAGAGGAAGAGCTAGAGGAAGAGCTAGAGGAAGATGATAGAGGAAGAGCTAGAGGAAGATGATAGAGGAAGAGCTAGAGGAAGAGCTAGAGAAAGATGATAGAGGAAGAGCTAGAGGAAGAGCTAGAGGAAGATGATAGAGGAAGAGCTAGAGGAAGATGATAGAGGAAGAGCTAGAGGAAGAGCTAGAGAAAGATGATAGAGGAAGAGCTAGAGGAAGAGCTAGAGGAAGATGATAGAGGAAGAGCTAGAGGAAGAGCTAGAGGAAGATGATAGAGGAAGAGCTAGAGGAAGAGCTAGAGGAAGATGATAGAGGAAGAGCTAGAGGAAGATGATAGAGGAAGAGCTAGAGGAAGAGCTAGAGGAAGATGATAGAGGAAGAGCTAGAGGAAGATGATAGAGGAAGATGATAGAGGAAGAGCTAGAGGAAGATGATAGAGGAAGAGCTAGAGGAAGAGCTAGAGGAAGAGCTAGAGGAAGAGCTAGAGGAAGCCTAGCGTTAGCCTAGCGTTAGCCTAGCGTTAGCCTAGCGTTAGCCTAGCGTTAGCCTAGCGTTAGCCTAGCGTTAGCCTAGCGTTAGCCTAGCGTTAGCCTAGCGTTAGCCTAGCGTTAGCCTAGCGTTAGCCTAGCGTTAGCCTCTAAGGGATTACCGTACTTTTCGACAATAGTTTACAGATTTTAACTACTTTAACTATAACTTTGTTGTTATAGTTATAACTATTTCTTTGTTGCCGTAATTATTGGGCACCCTGTAGAGAAAGAGTTAGAGAAAGATCTAGAGGAAGATCTAGAGAAAGATCTAGAGAAAGAGCTAAAATCTATTTGTTTGTTTTGTTTATATCTCGTTTTCAGGTGGGTGATCAATCCAGACGCAAAACCAGGTCGAAACCCACGACGAACTCGCGATCGAGCTGCTACTGCTGATTCAAAAACGATTGTAAGTCTTGAGTCTAGAGTTTTGAGGCTTAAAGGAGAGACAGATCTTCTTCGTTAAGAGCTTCTTGGTTAAGAGCTTCTTCGTTAAGAACTCCTTGATTAACAACTTCTTCGTTAGCAACTTCTTTGTTAAGAACTCCTTGATTAAGAGCTTCTTCGCTAAGAGCTTCTTCGCTAAGAGCTTCTTCGTTAAGAACTTCTTTGTTAACAACTTCTTCATTAAGAACTCCTTGATTAAAAACTCCTTGTTTAACAACTTCTTCATTAACAACTTCTTCCTTAGAATTTTAAATCGAATCTTCTTCGTTAGAAGTTCGATCTAAATCTAGTCTCTAATCTAAATCTAATCTAAATCCCGAAATTTTAGGGAAATCTAAAAGAAACCCGACGAAAGGCTCGCAATCGTGTGAAAGATATTCGAGCGATGATGGGTGGAAGTGTCTCCTCATCACAAGTTTCAATCTCATCACATGAACCCCTTTTCGCTGATGATCCAAATTTCCCACCAATGTTTAGGTTTGTTCGGTCTTTGTGTTGTGTTGGAGTAGAGCGTGTTGCAGTGTTGCAGTAGAGGAGTACAAGTAGAGCTATAGTTAGTGAGTGAGCTCTTCTAGCAGCTCTTCTAGAAGCTCTATAAGCTCTAGAAGCTCTAGTAGCTCTTCTAGAAGCTCTAGTAGCTCTTCTAGAAGCTCTAGAAGCTCTATAAGCTCTAGAAGCTCTAGTAGCTCTTCTAGAAGCTCTAGAAGCTCTTCTAGAAACTCTAGAAGCTCTTCTAGAAGCTCTAGAAGCTCTATAAGCTCTAGAAGCTCTAGTAGCTCTTCTAGAAGCTCTAGAAGCTCTTCTAGAAACTCTAGAAGCTCTTCTAGAAGCTCTAGAAGCTCTTCTATAAGCTCTATAAGCTCTAGAAGCTCTCCTATAAGCTCTACAAGCTCTATAAGCTCTCCTTTGAAGCTTTGAAGTGACAGTGATATCGCTAAACAAAAAGAGACGCATTTCATTTAAAGTATAAGATGAAATAGCTCTAAAATCTTTCCTTTTCTAGAGATCGTGCCAACTCGGCGCTCACCAATCCAGCTTCTCGTGTTTCGCCGAGTATGGAGGGCTTCAACGATTTCGATTTCCCTCCATGGGTTGACGCCTCGGCTCCACCGCAAATCCCGGCTGATATCGTCGACAGAACACAGGAGATTCGCCTCGAGGGTTGTATTGATGCGAATTCGCCGGCTTTCCGTCGAACTCTTCTCAATGGGATCAATGGAGAGCACAAGGAGATGAAAACGGCGAAATTGGAGGTGAGTGGGGAAAGGAAAAGTCGGGTAGAAAGTCGAGCAGAAAGTTCGGTAGAAAATCTGGCAAAAAGTTGGGCACAAAGTGGGGCAAAAAGTTGATCAGAAAGTTGGGTACAAAGTGGGACACGAGTGGGGCAAAAAGTTGAACAGAAAGTTGGGCACAAAGTGGGGCAAGAGTTGGGCACAAAGTGGGGCATAAAGTTAGGCAGAAAGTTGGGCATAAAGTTAGGCAGAAAGTTGGGCATAAAGTTAGGCAGAAAGTTGGGCACAAACTTGAGCAGAAAGTTGGGTACAAAGTGGGACACGAGTGGGGCACATAGTGGGGCACAAAATAGGGCACAAAATGGGGCACAAAGTGGGGCACAAAATGGGCCAAAAGTTTCCATTTGGCTCCCATTCTTATTCGGTTTCGATTCGGTCCCGATGCGATTCCTACTCCGGGTCGATTCGGTTCCCATGTGGGGTAAAAAGGGGGGCATAGAGTTGGGTACATAGTGGAGCACAAAATAGGGCACAAAGTGGGACACAAAGTGGACACAAAGTTCCCATTTGGTCCCCATTCTATTCTGATTCGTTTCCAATTCGGTTCCCACTCTGGATCGATTCGGTTCCCATTTGGTTCCCATTTGGGGCATAAAGTTTGGCATAAAGTTTGGCATAAAGTTGGGCACAAAGTGGAGTACAAAGTTGGGCACAAAGTTGAACAGAAAGTTGGGCATAAAGTTCGGCAGAAAGTTGGGCAGAAAGTGTAGCACAAAGTCTTCTCTATCTAACTATTCATTTAATCGAAAACGTTTAGCTCCAAGATCCGCCAATGATGCAAACAGCTCCACCATCGTATCACGAGTTGAACGCAGTGCGCTCGCAGAATCAACAGATGCAGAATCCGTTGCTCCGGAATGCAGCACTCGGTCAATTGCCAAAACAGGGGTGAGCGGCTGAAACTTTGAGCTTAGAGAACAGTGAGCTTAGAGAACAGTGAGCTTCTCTGTGAGCTTCTCTGTGAGCTTCTCTGTGAGCTTCTCTGTGAGCTTCTCTGTGAGCTTCTCTGTGAGCTTAAAGCAGTGAACAAAGCAGAGAACAGTGAGCTTAAAGCCTTTGCCTTTCAATTATTGGATATTTTTGATAAAAGTTGATCAAAGTAGTGTCTAAAACGTTTCTAACATTCAAAATTCATATTTTCAGTGGCTCTTATGGTTTCTCTCCATACTCAACGTGGAATATGTCACCCGGAATGTCATTGCCAACAACACAATCATGCGCTTCACAACAGGTTGGGTAATTAGAAGCTAGAGAATGGCTATGATAGGGCCAGGATATAGCACTGTGCTGTAAAAAGCCCAGCAAACCTTTCCATTACAAATTCCCGATTTCAGGTTGCATCGATGGGCAGTCTGCCAGTAGATCTCGAGAATCTAACCCTTCCCGATCAACCACTAATGGAAATGGATATGGAGGCAGTGCTGAGACACGAGCTCTCCCAAACCAACAATCAACTCAATTTCGATATCTGAGAGTGCGCAGATGGACTCTTATCTGAAAGTCTAAAAGTTCTACGTCTTTCCGATCACTCTTTTTTTCTGAAAAGTTCTTTATTCAACGTATTCTCCTATTTCTTGTACGGTCGGTGTAACGAGGGAAACTTCTACGATTCTGATTATGTGTGTGTTTAGCAAAATTCCCCCAAAAGCGTGTACATTAGTTAGAGTGTTGGGCACATTTTGGACGAACGGTTACTGGAGGTACTAGAGCTGGATGCTAGAGATGTACTGGAGCTGGATACTAGAGCTGGACTGGAGCTGGATGCTAGAGCTGTACTAGAGCTGGATGCTAGGCTGTACTGGAGCTGGATGCTAGAGCTGTACTAGAGCTGGATACTGAAGCTGGATACTGGAGCTGGATAGAGCTGTACTGGAGCTGGATGTTAGAGCTGTACTGAAGCTGGATACTAGAGCTGGATACTAGAGCTGGTTACCGAAGCTGGCTACTGAAGCTGGTTACTGGAGCTGGTTACTGGAGCTGGCTACTAGAGTTGGCTAATGGAGCTGGTTACTAGAGCCGGCTACTGGAGCTGGATACTGGAGCTGGCTACTAGAGTTGGCTCATTATCAACTACAGAACTAGATCAGGCTACTGTGGCCAGCTATTCCGGTCATTGACTGTAGCCAGTCATTCCAGCTATTTCAGCCATCGAGCTATTCCAGCCATTCCAATATTCCAATATTCCAATATTCCAGTATTCCAATATTCCAGTATTCCAGTATTCCAGCTAATCCAGTATTCCAGTCTTCCAGTCTTCCAGTCTTCCAGTATTCCAGTATTCCAGTCACCCCAGCCATTCCCTTCCCAGTGATTCCAGTCATTGACTAGCCAAAATCTGTTAACCAGAATCTGTGAGACCAAAATGTGCTCAAAACTTGAAACAAACATTCAGGGCCCAGGGCAAAGAAAGGCCCTATTAGAAACCTATTAGAAAAACGGTAGTCGACAAAATCGATTCTCAGCTTTTCTCATCGATTCTCAGCTTTCTCATCAACTCTCAAATAGAATCATCAACTTTAGCATCTAGAGCTATTCGTTTAGCATCTACAGCTATTCGTCTAGCATCTACAACTCTAAAATTCCAGTCTCTAATCGATGAATCCAAGCTGAGAATCGATTTTCCTCAAAAAAAAACAATGCCATGTCATTTTTCTTCAAAATTTCTTCTCTCTCCCCGACTTTTCGGACCTCAAATTGGTAAATTATCAGTAAATGATCAGTAAATTATCAGTAAATTATCAGTAAAATGTTTTAGTTTACTGTTTAAGTTTAAATTCCCGTTTCTTATGCATTTTTTTTGATGATTTGTGCAGCTGTTTTGTCGATTTTCGATTTTTTTGTCGATTTTCGATTTTTTTTTTGTGCTTTTTATGGACATGTGCATGGTTTCTAGTCAAAGATTCTATTTCTGTAATTGTAAACGAAAAATCGACAATAGGCACTTGTAAAAAGCTTTGGATTCTGAGTTGTGTAGGGATTCTGAGTTCTGTTAGGATTCTGAGGTCTCTTTGAGTTCTGAGTTCTCTTTGGATTCTGAGTTCTCTTTGAATTCTCTTTGGATTCTCTTTGGATTCTGGATTCTCTTTGAGTTCTGAATTCTCTTTGAATTCTGGATTCTCTTTGAGTTCTGAGTTCTGTTGGGATTCTGAGTTCTCTTTGAGTTCTCTTTGAATTCTCTTTGAATTCTCTTTGAGTACTCTTTGAGTTCTGGATTCTCTTTGAATTCTGGATTCTCTTTGGATTCTGAGTTCTCTTTGAGTTCTCTTTGAATTCTCTTTGGATTCTCTTTGAGTACTCTTTGAGTTCTGGATTCTCTTTGAGTTCTCTTTGGATTCTGGATTCTCTTTGGATTCTGAGTTCTCTTTGGATTCTGAGGTCTCTTTGGATTCTGAGTTCTCTTTGAGTTCTCTTTGAATTCTCTTTGGATTCTCTTTGAGTTCTGAGTTCTCTTTGGATTCTCTTTGAATTCTGAGTTCTCATTGGATTCTGGATTCTCTTTGGATTCTGGATTCTCTTTGGATTCTGAGTTCTCTTTGAATTCTCTTTGAATTCTCTTTGAATTCTCTTTGAATTCTCTTTGAATTCTCTTTGAATTCTGGATTTTCTTTGAATTCTGAGTTCTCATTGGATTCTGGGTTTCCTTTGGATTCTGAATTCTCATTGGATTCTGGATTCTCTTTGGATCCTGAGTTCTCTTTGAGTTCTCTTTGAAGTCTGAATTCTCTTTGATTTCTCTTTGAATTCTCTTTAAATTCTCCTTGATTTCTGGATTCTCTTTGAGTTCTCTTTGATTTCTCTTTGAATTCTGAGTTCTCTTTGAATTCTCTTTGATTTCTCTTTGATTTCCCTTCGATTTCTCTCTGATTTCTCTTTGATTTCTCTTTTTTATGTTTATTCTTTTCTTTCGTGAAATCTTGTCCATTTCTTTTTCAACAATGTGTACACAAAGATATCCTTTTTTTTACGAAAAAAACTTTTGTTTTCTTGATGATTTTCTTGATTTTCTTGGATTTTTTTGGCTTTTTTGATTTTATTTTTTGTTTTATCTTGAAGTTTTTTTTTTGTGTCCATTTGATTTTTCACTCTTTTTTTCTATAAAGTTTATTTCTCAGTTAGCTTTGAACGCTGAAAGCACAAAAAATGCACAAAAATAAAATAGAGAAAGCTCGAGAACGATTAAAACAAAGCGATTAAAACAAAGCGATTAAACAAGAGCGATTAAAACAGAGCGATTAAACAAGAGCGATTAAAGCAGAACGATTAAAACAGAACGATTAATTACTTGAAAAATTCGGTTTAACATTGAAGTAATGAGATTTTGAAGAGCAGAAAGAGCAGAGAGAGCAGAACAGAGAGCAGAGGTCGCTGAGATCTCAACGCTGACCTCTTGGTCATCTCAACGCTGTCATCTCAACGCTGAGACGTTGAGATCGCTCCAGGCAAAATGGATCGCTGTTTTAAGTGGAATAAACGTCTTGTAAGAAAAAAACAGCAAAAACGTTCTTGTAGAAAGCTTAAACAAGTATTCCCCATAAATTCTCTATCAGACTGAGGTCAAGAGGTCATTGATTGAAGCCAGTGGGCCAATCCAAAGTTGTGTTGTTGTTGTTGTTGTTCTTCTTCTTCTTCTTCTTCTTCCTCCTCTTGTTCTTCTTTTTCTTCTTCTTCTTCTTCTCCCTCTTGTTCTTCTTCTTCCTCTTGTTCTTGTTCTTCTTCTTCTTCTTCCTCTTGTTCTTCTTGTTCTTCCTCTTGTTCTTGTTGTTGTTCTTCTTCTTCTTCTTCCTCTTCTTCTTCTTCTTCCTCTTCTTCTTCTTCTTCTTCTTCCTCTTCTTCTTCTTCTTCTTCTTCTTCTCCAGCCAGTCTCGGGTGTATCCGGCTCGATGAATTGACGCGTTGTCGCGTTGGAACACATAGGAAACGCTGGGATTTAGAAGCAAAGACGGCAATCGTCCAAGTCGTCCAAGACATCTATATCAAAACGATTCGTCGGATTCGAATCCATCTTCAGAGCCCAGCTATCTCCAGCTATCCAAGCCCAGCTCCAGCTATCCAAACTCCAGCTATCCAAAGCTAAAGCAAAACTTAGTCAAAGCCCCGATTGATCTGGTTAAAACATCCTTTTTTTCCTTTGCTTTGGCTACCGAAGTTTCTCCAACTCTGCAAAAGTTAGAATGACTTTTTTTGTGATCATTTTTGTTGTCAACCAAGATACCAACAAAGGATTCCACTTAAAGCTTTCAAACTAAACGTTTCTCGTTATGACTCGAAAATGATGATCCAGATCTCTTCTCTTCTCTTCCCACAATCATCCTGACTCCAGCTCTCCAAGCTCCAGCTCTCCAAGCTCCAGCCCTCCAAGCTCCAGCCCTCCAAGCTCCAGCTCTCCAAGCTCCAGCTCTCCAAGCTCCAGCTCTAGCTCGTTATGACTCGAGATTGAAAATGATCATCCAGATCTCTTCCCTCCTCTTCCCTCCTCTTCCCTCCTCTTCCCTCCTCTTCCCTCCTCTTCCCTCCTCTTCCCTCCTCTTCCCACAATCCCCCTGACCCATTCTCCTAAATTTACCCATGATTTTTCTCGATTTCTATTTTCAGCCTATAAAATAATATTTGAAGAAAGGAAAACGGAAAAAAAAAGAAAAAACGGAAAAAAGGGACTTTTGTGTTGATTCACGTGTGTTTTTAGTGCAAAAAGAGGGCAAAAATCGATTTTTTGTCCCCTTTTCTCGACGATTTCTAAACCGATTTCGTTAAAATTGTTTCTGGAAAACGGGATTTTCGATAGGGGTTTGCGAAAAATCGAAAATTCTAAAAGAATTCAAGATTTTGATTCCATTAGTCTTTAGAAATGAACCTTTAATCTCTTTCGATCTTCTGCTGAGAGCCTGGCTTACCTAGACCGTATATAAGACGACTGAAAGCCTAAGCCTAAGCCTGAGTCTAAGTCTAAGCCTAAGCCAAGCCTAAGTCTAAGCCTAGATTCGGTACCGAGCCTAGTTCTAGTCCTGGGATGGCCAGGCTATTGGTCCTGGGATGGGCAGGCTATTGACAGGCTTTATTCACATGCTTGTCTTGACTTTAAACCTGATTTAGACCTCTAGACTGGTCCAGGAACCTCTAGACCCCCCTAGACTAAGCCAGCCTCTCACCCATCCGATCTTACAGATTCTAGAACCCATTTCGTCCTCTTGGTCGATTCCTCTTGGTCGGATTCCTCTGTAGAGCAAAACTTGATCTAATCCTCCCTCGGTCTGACAAATCTATGGCTATCTGGCTATCCAAAGCTAAAGCAAAACTTAGGCAAAGCCCCAGTTGATCTGGTTAAAACATCCTTTGTTTCCTTTGCTTTGGTTACCGAAGTTTCTTCAACTCTCCAAGACTTAGTATGGCTTTTTTTGCTCTTGCTCCAATTCCTCTTCTTCCTCTCGGTCTGGTTCAATTTGGTCCGATTCCTCTTGTTCCAACTCCTCTT